TTTAGAGTTAATTTTTGTGTATGAGGATAGATAGGGGTCCTGTTTCAATCTTCTGCATGTGGTCAACCAGTTTTCCCAGCACCATTTACTGAATAGGTTCTCCACTCCCCAGTGGTAGGTGGTGGGGGCTTTGTTGAAGATGAGTTGGTTGAGAAATTGAGGTTTTGCTTCTGGAATCTCAATTCTATTCCATTGATCTATTTGCCTGTTCCTATACCAATACCAAGCTGTTTTGATGATTGTAGCTTTATAGTAAAGTTTGAAGTCTGGTAATGTGATACCACTTGCTTTGTTTTTTTTTTTTTTTTTTTGCTGAGGATTGCTCTGGCTATTCTTGGTCGTTTATGTTTCCATATGAATTCCTGTGTTGTTTTTTCTAGGTCTAAGAAGAATGTTGATGGTAATTTGATGGGTATTGCATTGAATCTGTAGATTGCCTTAGGTAAGATGGACATCTTCACAATGTTGATTCTTCCAATCCATGAGCATGGGATATTTTTCCACTTGTTTGTGTCATCTTTGATTTCTTTGAGCAGTGTTTTGTAGTTTTCATTGTAAAGGTCTTTCACGTCTCTGGTTAGGAAGATGCCAAGGTATTTCATTTTTTTTGTGGCTATTGTGAATGGAATTGTGCTTTTTTTTTTTAGTTTCTGTTTGTTTATTATTGGTGTAAAGAAATGTGATTGTCTTTTGCACATTTATTTTATATCCTGAGACTTTGCCAAAGGCCTTTATCAGTGTAAGGAGGTTTTTGACAGATTCTCTTGAGTTTTCAAGGTACACAATCATGTCATCTGCAAAGAGAGATAACTTGACTTCCTCTTTTCCTATTTGGATACCCCTGATTGCCTTCTTTTCTCTGATTGCTCTAGCCAGGACTTTCAGTACTATATTGAACAGGAGGGGTGAGAGTGGGCATCCTTTTCTTGTTCCAGTTTTCAGGGGAAATGGTTCCAATTTTTGTCCGTTTAGGAATATGCTGGCTGTGGGTTTCTCGTAGATGGCTTTTACTATTTTGAGGTATGTTCCCCATATGCCTGGATGTTCGAGGGTTTTTATCAAGAAGGGGTGCTGGATTTTATCAAAAGCTTTTTCTGCATCTAATGATATAATCATGTGGTTTTTGTTTTGACATCTGTTGATGTATTTAATTACATTTATGGTTTTACGAATGTTGAACCAGCCTTGCATCCCAGGGATGAAGCCTACTTGGTCATGATGGATGATTTTTGAGATGTGATGTTGAATCCGGTTTGCTAGGACTTGTTGAGAATTTTAGCATCTATGTTCATCAAAGATATTGGCCTGTAGTTCTCTTTCTTTGTTGGGTTTTACCTGGCTTGGGTATCCATGTGATGTTAGCTTTGTAAAATGATTTGGGGAGAGTTCCATCTTTCTCAATCACCTGGAATACCTTCAGTAGGATTGGAATCAGCTCCTCCTTAAATGTCTTGTAGAATTCTGCTGGAAAGTCATCTGGTCCAGGGCTTTTTTTTTTTAGGTAGTTTTCTTATTATGTAGTCAATTCCCTTGATTGTTATTGGTCTATTTAGGGTCTCAATTTTTTCTTGTTTCAACCTAAGTAGGTTGTGTGATGACAGAAAATCCTCCATTTCCTTAAGGTTTTCAAGTTTGTTTCCATACAAGTGTACATAGTAGTCTCTAATGATCTTTTGTATTTCTTCTGGGTCAGATGTGACTTCATCTTTTGTGTTTCTGATTGTGCTTATTTGGGTTTTTTTCTCTGTTTTTCTTGGTCAGTCTAGCTAGGGGACCATCAATCTTGTTTATCCTTTCGAAGAACCAGCTTTTTGTTTCATTGACTTTTTTGTATTATCTTTTTGTCTTCTATGTCCTGGATTTGGGCTTTTATTCTGGTGATCTGGATTCTTCTGCTGAAATTAGAATTTTTGTGGTCTTGTTTTTCCAGCTTTTTTAGGTGGCTTGTTAGGCTGTTAATTTGTGATCCTTCCATTTTCTTCATGTGCGTTTGTAGGGATATAAATTCCCCTCTTACTACAGCTTTCATGGCATCCCAGAGATTTTGGTAAGATGTTTCTTCATTTTCATTTGTTTCAAGGTATCTTTTGATCTCTGTTTTGATTTCATCATTGACCCAGGAGTTGTTTAGCATCATGCTGTTTAGTGTCCTTGTCTTCGTGGGTTTTGGGGGGACCTTGTAGGTGTTAATGCTTATTTTTATTCCACTGTGGTCCAAGAAGGTGCATGGTAAAATTTCGGTCCTTTTAAATTTGCTTATGCTTGATTTATGGCCAAATATGTGGCCGATCTTAGAATACGTTCCATGTGGTGATGAGTAGAATGTGTATTCTGTGGTCTTTGGATGGAGTGTTCTGTAGGTATCAATTAAGTCCATTTGGTCAAGAATCACATTGAGGTTTCGGATCTCATTGCTGATTTTTTGTCCTGATGATCTGTCTAGGGTTGTGAGTGGGGTATTAAAGTCCCCGGTTATGATGATGTTAGAGTCAATATCTTTCTTTAGTTTTCCTAGAAGCTGTTGAAAAATTCTTAAAGAAAATGTCAACAATTTTGTTTCTTCTTAGGTGAATGTGGTTG